GCAGCAGCGACATATGGAACAGCTTTGGAACGACAAACACCGACTGTGTTCTGCTGTTGGAAGCGCAATGCCTTGGAATCCAGAGCAGAGGCTTCACAGATCTTTCTGACAATTAGTCAAGAAGTGGATTTGAAAGGAGAGAAAGAATAAAGAAAAACGTGTTGCATAATGTAACCAGCTTCCGTTTGTTTTTAATGAATCCCCAAAGAGTCAATGCCTTAAACTCTTATGTTGGAAAGATTAAGGTTACACCCGGAGAGAGAAGAAATCCTGCCAGCACTATTTTTCACTAACATTCCCTGGTCATGCCTAGGTCCATCCATAGGAGTATTTTTACTTCACGTCCATTGAAGATACAAGCCATGACCCATTTTATTTGTTGCATTGTAATACGATAAGAGTAAATCTTGTCCTTTAAACCTTACTGTAATCGTTGTAACGCACAATTAACATCTGTACCTAATCCTTACATTTCCATATATATATAGACTGTTGTACCAGCTAATAAAAACATTTGAAGGACTTTTAGACACATGTTTTGACTGGTGCCCAGAATAAGGTAACGCAGTGTGGAACAGCACCTCTCCCAGAGACATTGGGAGCTGGGGAATTCTACAAGAAGCCAAGACACTAATACTACATCGCTCACGCTGTGCCAAGGTTTCTGTGAGCTGCAAAGCAAACATACAATGTGAGATCACAAAATGGAAGATATCTGAAGGTAATTGGCTGATAGGGTTGGTGTTCCTCTCAGGCTGATGACCCAAAGGCTAGTCAAGAGAGATAAGCTCTTTTATATATACACGGTATTTAAACAATGCTCAGCGTGGGAACACAATACAGTGAGGTGCTGTCTTGGTTTGCTTCAGTTATCCTTCCTGACAAGATCTCCCACAGCCTGGTAGTTTCATTTGGCAAATTTCCCCTGTTGTGCATGTACCTGATGTGCCTGATGCCAATTAATTCAAAAATAATTATTAGAAACAGGCAATTTGCTTCAAACTAATTGAGTTCTGTACTTTACAGACATTAATCTATAATCCATCTGCATTTCAGTGATATTTCTTACAGTTGGCTGCCTTAATTAATTCACTGTTGCATATAAATCATATGGCACCTTAAACATTGCCTTATGGTCATTAGGAGAAAAATTCCCAGAAGACAGCAATACCCAGCTCTGCTTCAATATCTAAAGCCACATGAAAGATTTGGCTATAAGCACTTTGCTAATGGAGTGGAGTTATTGATCCCAAATTCAAATAAGCCTTCTTTTGTTTTACCGCCCACAATTAATGCACAATGTGCTGATGGAAAATAGAAACTGAGCGCTTTTCAAAGTGTCCGGTTCCTTATTAATTGGTCCGACTGACTTTCGACTAGTTTGGTGGGAACAAATACCGCTGGGCTTTGAACCACAGCAGAAAATTAAAACAAGCATTGAACCTAGTCAGCATTGGCTCACGACCAATTGAGCTTTGGGTGGTAATAACAACAGCACATGCGAAAAATCCATAGGAAACCCTGAGAGTGTGATGAGTGAGAGTGAGTTATCAACTTTGGCGATTTGCAAGCTGTTGCTCATTTGTCTTTGGCTGTAAATTGCTGAGCAGTTTCAACGTATAACCCTGCTCCGCTGAAGCCATGGAAAACATCAATAAAAAAAATCAAATAAATAATAGAATCATTAAAAATTAGGGATCATTTGTTTGAGAAATAATAAACGCGGTTACCTTATTCTAAATAAATTCGAGACAAAGCACGATTATTTATTCTTTCCCAGAACTTGGAAGACTGGAAATCTTTACCTCCCTCGGGTCTCCCTCTCTTAATAATATTAATCATTGCATTTGATATACCGCCGTATCATGTTATTGAGATGCCTCAAAATGCTTCACAGAATATACTGTAAATCTACGCTGCACTCTCTTTAATTCTACAAGATCCTTCCTGTAGTTGGAAGTGAATGAGAGGCACCAGGGCAATAGTTATGATTTTTCTTCCCATTCTCTGCAGCTTGGGTCGACATATGCTCAACACTGAAGTCTTGGTGGCATATCCTGGGAAATCAGGGTACGGGCAAACCATCGAGGCAAGTTATGCTCTAAACTCACTGCGACGTAATCCTTTAGAGCACCACAGAATCGCCCTACAGTGTTTTGAGTTTTTTTTTGAACAAACAAGGAACAAGATAATAGGAATAAATCACCAGACCCATAAATGCTCCTGAATCTCACCCCTCAAAAAAGTCTCCACACCCTCAGTATCGGTCAGGTTTCACTCTACAAGTTATTTAAATGCTGTAAAAATGGCAACAAATCAACTCATGCAGCAACTTGCGGCAGTTTTGCCATCAATCAATGTCTGTCCAGGTGCCAAAATGAACATTAATTTAAAGTAACACCTATGGCAATTCCATATTGTATTACTTTCTTCTTTAAAATAAGGGTCAGACTCTTGTAAACACTTTTAACAGTACACCTTATTGTATTTTTTTGTATCGTACATTGTTTGGTTATATTAAGCTTGTTCCTTTTACAATAAAGTGTTTGGTAAGACTGTCCCCACATACTTATTGCCTCTTTATTTCAAACACAAAACAATTCCCTTTCACTACGTGGCAAAATCTAACTAAACAAGGAAACCATCCATTTTTTTGAAATTGCCCTTTGCAACTCTTAACCGATGTACTCTTGTCCCACTGTCTTGAAGCATCAAAATATTGTTCTACCGTTTTAATTTTTCAATCCCATTTCAAATGTCATACCCATCTATAAGGCTCCCTCGAAGATGTGTCCTTTCAAGACTGAAGGCCGGAGCTCGTTTAATCATTGGCAATTCCTCTTAACATTGGAAATCGTGCTCATTGCTCTCCTCTGACCAGCGATGACCAGAACTGTATGCAGTTCTCTAGGTGCGGTCTGACCTCTATAGCTTAATTATGACTTCATTAACCACTCTGTTTGAACTGCACTTACCACATCTCCCAGTCTTAAAGAAGGACAAACAAAAGGAAACGAGCTGCAAAGTCTGTTTCCTATTGCTCCTGTTTTGACTTTGCCACGGGTTAGGTCCCTTCCTGCTAGCTGATTAACCTGCCATTATTGTTGAACTGAAGTGGGATCTTTGATGCAGTTTCCTCTCAGTTTGAGATACTGAGAGAGAGAGAGGTGGATAGTGAGTTCTTTTCCTCCATCTGGAAAGCACTCATTTTGTCAAAGGCAAGATGCAGCAAGCTGAAAAGAACAGAATAGGTAAAGTTTTGCTGCTCTCACCAGGTTTGTTTCTCAACTTGAGATTCAGCATTCGTACACCCAAATTACTGCAAACACATCAATTCTATTATAATTTCATATCACAAAGGAATCTATCTTTACAGAGATCATTTTTTAGAGAGAGATCAATGAGTCACTAAACAACAATCCTCATTTGTTGGAGCACCTCACCACATCGTTGAGACATCACAAAGATCTTCAGAGTTTTACTGTAAAGTGTAGTGACTGTGCGTCTGTAAAAGAACAAACAGCTTCATTGCACACCGACTTCGAGAGGGCAAGAAAAACATTGCACCTTCCCCTTAAAACCACATATTCCATTCAGTAAAGGAACACACGTCAGGCTGAGAGGCAAAGGGGTCCATCCACGTAAATGAACACGTAAGTGTTCCAAAAAAAGTATAAAACTTATCATTTTTCCATCCCAACTTGTACACAAAGTGGGAAAATGAAAAGGGGATTATGTTAGAACACAAGAGCGCCACCTTGTGCTCACTGTAGCCAGGTGCACGCCCTAGTGAGGGTTATACCAGTTTCCGACACTGATTTGAGGAGCTCTTAATTTCTAACATTTGTTTTTACTGTTGCCCATTTTCTTGTGATTATTTTGTACTGTGGATTCTGCCTCCTCGGCTGTCCGTACAGAATGTGTTGATCAAGCGCTAACGCCCCCCCTTTAAAACCTACAGTGATAAGTTTCCTTTGGAAGTTACGTTTTTACAACAAAGCAGAACATGTAACACAACATAAACGAATAGAACGGGGGGGAAAGAGAAAACAAGTACTCTATAGAAGAAGAATACAAATCCTCCCAAAAAAGTGTCTGATAAAATGTTTGTTTGTAGTGGTTTTCTCTGATCAGCACATGTCCATCACCTTAGGAAAGGGGATCTCAAACCAGAAAAAAACCCAACCTCTTTGCCTCAGTATTAATAATAATCCCTCCAAAACCAAAAAAAATTGATCATTTTCAATCCACGACTGTCTGTGGGGCATTGCTGTGCGCAATTGGCTGCCGCGTTCGCCCATAAATATACAGTCACTTCACTTTACAGTGTGTTCTGTGAAGCGCTTTGGGACGTCCTCCCGACGTGAAAAGCGCTATATCAAATGCAAGGATTGTTGTTGTTGTTAGTCTCAGCCTGAATTAGATTTTCATTACACTTTCAAGGTCAATAGTTGTAATAAAATTCATATATTCTACCGACAGAGGATTTTATTCTGAATCGTTACAAACCAAAAGCATGAAATAACTGACCTCCCACTTTAGAGGGTTTGGGAAACAAAACATATGTTACTTTGACCAAATACGCTGTAGGTGGTGGTCGTGGTAGGAGGGGGGGAAACGAGGGATAAGAGCAGAGTTTGCTCAGATTTCTCTTCTACTGCAGCTGTGCAAGAAAAATCAATTTTCTTCTGCATCGACCTTCTGAAGAAGGCTTTGCCAATCACCTGAAACATGATCCATTTCAGATTGTGCCCAGAATTGTTTTTATGCTGCATTTTAGTGGTGATTGAACATTTGAAGCGCAGCATAAATAGGGCATTGGAGACACGAGAAAGAGCAGTGCGATTCATCTGCCAATGGTGTGAGGGTAACAGAAGAGTACACACAGGCTGACGGATTTGCATTCTGTGGCAGGACTCATTCCACCACCAGTCCAGAGGCTTTACACTTTATAAAATACAAATGAAGTGACAAAACCTTTTTTTTATATTTTTAATATAAATTTTATACAAAGAGATGTGAAAAAATATCTCCATATGCTAAAAGCAATCCTGTTTCACAAGTTAGGCTACCAAATTATGTCCTTGAAGATCAATGGTAATTTACTAGTGTCTTTTTTTTAAAGTTTTTTTTAATAACACATTTACTCATCGGGTCTGGCTGAAAACTGTACAAACTGCTTATTATATAAACCAGGATGAAAAATAAAATAAACAAAAATATACATCAGGAAAGCACTGGGATCATTCTGAACACAGATAGGACAATCTCATACACACACACACACACACACACACACACTCTCCCTTGTGTTCAAATGCCATTGATACACCAAAAGCAAACAAATGCTAATACAGTGTGTGGGGAAGGGGAATGAGCAGCAAGATGGATTGCCCCACTTCGCACTCCTTCATTAGACGTTCCTTCTCCACCCCATCTCATGCTTTTTAAGGTCATTTGAGTTCCACAGACTTGTACAGACTTGTACATATAAATATTATATGCTCTGGTCCAACTATTAAAGGTGTATTTATCGTTGCTGAAAATGTCCCCAATCTTGTCACAGTTTTCAGAGACTACACTTGAATCTTCCATTGAATTACATTAAAGGAAAACACAATGGGGGGGTGGGGGGGGGGAATGAAGCTCTAGGGCTGACGAGATCTAGAAAGATGAAAGGTTTACAAGATATTCTGGAGTTTAGCTTGAAGGTTTTTTTTCTCTCTTCTTTTGTGTTTTTTAATGCTAGCCAAGAATGTAGTGTCACTAAAGCTCTGTACATCATGTACAAAGCAGATAATCCGCGTAGGACAGAACAGCATTAGTGGATTCCCATGCAAAGTCTTTCCGTAATGCAGTCTCTTCCTGATCGTCCTTCTAGAGAATGGGGTAAGGGGGCTTCAGGTCCTGTGGACTTGAACAGGCATTGTGGTCTGCGTGTACTGGACTCCTGGCCTCATGGCTACTGTCCCGGCTGTCGTGCCCACCACACCTGGAATGGTCTGCGGACAAAAAACATACAAGATGTTGAATTAATCTTATTGAAATAAAGAATGTTACTATCCATAATTTAGCAAAAATTCAATCTTCAAGTCAATCAGGCACACGTGCAACAAACACCTGCACAACAGCACAATTATTTGCTTCGATTGCTGAAGTGGAAGGTTATTGGGTCAAAAGAAAGATTAGAGCAATGTCAAAGGTTTAAAGAGTCAAGTGACCTGGGTCTCGATCTCCAAATCACCACAGGATTTTGAGACTTCTAGTGTTCAAAATTATAATCGAGTTCAGATAGCAAAACAAAAATATTTTCAGTTTCACAGCAACTTGCAGATTGGTGCAAATGTGAGAACAAACAGCTGAAATTAAAGACTGAAATCTTAAAGTGTTCTTAAAACAATGGTTTTGATGTTCAGACATTGAATGTGATGGGGGTGTTCCACCGGCACTGGGTGACTGTACTTGGGCCACATGCAACTTCCTTCAAACGTTTCTGACAAAGTTACACATGGCAGGAAGGCTACTGCACTCACCAGGAACAGTTAAAACATTCAGCATTTTAGTTATTACAGAAAAACAAGAGGTATGCACAGAAAAGAGAGTCTACATCACCTGACCTTTAACAACAGATGCTGAAGCAGATGGCACAGGTACTTAGTGTACTATTCAATAATGCACAAGGGACTACAGCAGCCAAAAAAGATGAAGGTCACTTTGATTTAGAAAGCTCAAGCTGCTCAGAGCATGCAACAACAACAACAACAAGGTTTCATTTATAGAGCGCCTTTCATGTCGGGAGGACGTCCCAAGGCGCTAGACAGTTGGGTCAGGACCTGAGCAGGGGGGAATTGGTCAGGGTGAGGGGAAGGAAGGGAGGGAGCGAGGAGGGGGTAGAGAGTCGAGAGGGGAGCGAAGGCACGGTCAAAGAGAACTGCGCACACACACACACACAGCTTGATCGAAGGAGCATCTCTATCTTGAGGGAATGTATGAAGATCTTACCCACGTGTAGGTTTGAAAGTAGGTTCTTTTCTGTTTTTTCTCCCCACTTGTCAGGAGAAAATAAAATCAATGATTTGATTGTACTTACGATTGTGGGTTGAGTTGTTGGGACATAGGTGGCTGTTTGTGGCTGAACCTGGACTAGTTTGACTGGTTGGTTGCTGGACACACTTGCTGCTATCTACGGTGACAAGTGTGACAGAGAGAACTTTTAGTAAAACATTTGATCAATAATAATAATACAATAATTAATCTTTCCGTTTGATATAGTGAGCCAGTTTTAATTGTGGGCTGAACAGTAACAATGAACAAAAATTATAGCTGCACAAAAGTTCTACCACTGCTCTACACTGGTATTTTTGTTCTCTGTCCTAGATGAGAACAGCTTGGAAGACGTCCAATCAAATGCTACTGGCCTGAAGTTCTGGATGAAGATTTTATTGTACTGAAGAACCAGACTCTACTTACTGTGGTATTTTCCTTGCTTTTATCTGTGCTGGGGTCCTTGTCATTTTGGCTGGCTTTGGCCTCTGACGGGGACTGTTGGACACTAGGTGTTTGCCCAACATTTTTGTTTGATGCCTCGGAATTCACTTCTGATTCAGGCTCTTGCTGAGTAGCAGTGGCTGCAATCAAAAGATTGCAAATCAGTCATAAAGAATGTCTCTATACTCGCACAAATCATAATATCTAAAGATCCATGTGCAAGTGCTAATTGGCTTATTAGAGGAGTGTAAATTAAAATCTAATATTAACTCAAGGGGTGGATGCAGAATTTACCAAATGGCTTCTGGGCAGCGGTTGTAAGAAGACTTCTTTTATAAATAAGGAAAACTCGTTTTGTAAAGCAGAAATCTTATTTCGATGTTTTACATTAAGGGCAAACTGAAAACTGCCCTCTTGTAACCTCAGTTCAGGATGGTCCATTCATGTTACCCCCTCCACTCCCCTCCCTCCATTTCATCTGATCAGCCCGCTCCCTCCATAACCCGTAAATGTTACATTATGTTTCTCGAAAATATTGTTTATGCAGCCCACGGATATTTCTCAAAAATGGGGCATCCGGCCCTCGGCAGCTCAAAAAGGTTGGACCCCCCCACCCACTGTCTCGCTGAATCCTCAAAATCTGTGGATATTCAAATATTTCACTATTACCAATACAACTGTAACCTACTGTTAAGCATTGCACAATAACTATGAGCACATAAATGAAAGACAATAAAGTATGGGTTTCACTACCAATTTGGTAATGCAGTAGCTCTATGCTGCTGGCACACTGAAATATAAAACATACACTGGCAAGGAGTCTCCCTCCAAGGGTTTGACAAACAACCTTAAAATGTAGGCAGTGCACCTTTACATGCAACGTTTGAGCTGAGGAGACGGTACACACTGAAAGCAGTGTTCAGGGTTGCGAGGCTTCTGGTTCTCGCCCCCCGCTTACCTGACTGAGTGCAGGACTTCATGTGCTCTGGCCAGTGTGCCTGCTGACAGGGGTAATCACAATAGCTGGTGTTCCAGCAGCAGTAGAAGATGGCTTCCTTCCTGCAGTTGGCACACCACTGCTTCTTCTTGGTTTCGTCAACTGCCTGCTGCCTCTCCGCTTCCATTTGTTTCTTCATCTCAGCAATCACGCGATCCTTATCTTGCTCGAGACTCTGGCGCATCTCTGCCATGGTTAACTCTGAGGATCACGAGAAACATTTCTTAATTGGACGACTGTTGCTAATTTGCCAAACAACCACCCACACAACAATGGGAGAAACGTATTTTACCAAATGATAGCAGTTGTGTTTATATAGTGCTCTTCACATACGGGAATGGCTCAAAGTGGTTCATAGCAGTAAGGTTGGACACTGAGCAAGGAGGAAAGGGGTAGAGGTGAAAAAAGTGGGTTTCAGCAGCAATTTTGTAATGCTTTCTGCAAACTAGTTCATCTAAATTCTGTTCACATTCTCTCCTCTGACTTGAGACGTGATAAATGGAAGTTGAAAACAAACGTAAAGGAAAGGTTTTACCAAAAAAAATTATAAAGGCAAGAAAGAGGGAAGAGAGAAGTAAAACAACTTGTTCATGTGTAACGTACCTAGGTTATGTTTCATCTCAGCAAGCTCCTGTTGGTGTAACCATTGCAATTTGTCAATTTCAATTTTCATTCGCCGAATCTGTGAATCGAAAAGAAATCATAAATAAATAATAATCCTTGCATTTGATATAGTTCTCTAGAAGTCTCAAAGTGCTTCACATAATATACCATAAAGTGAATTGACTGTATATTTGTGGGTGAAACACAGCAATGAATTGCGCACAGAAGTGTCCCTCCTAGTCCTGAATTGACTGACCAAATTATGATTACTTTTTTTTTTAAGGATTAATATCCCTGGAAAAGCGATCCACCAATCGACTAACAACCGGGTTCTTGCTTATTGCTAAGTAAACGGAGGCACGTGGAGTAAGGAAACTTGCCCAACATTTCGCCCTATCGGGGAATAGAACCCAGGTCTCTAACCACTGAGCTACAGGGCTCCACGTTAATAATGATAAATCAAGTTAATTCCTAATGACATTTACGTTATTCAAACGGACAACTTGAGCTCAGATCTAAAACGACAAACCTCCGCTATCGTGTTTCCAGAACTGTTTCTGGAGAGATCATTGTAGATTTCAGTCATTGTTCCCTTTATTGCTTCCATCATCTGAAGAGCAAAAGTTAAGAAACAGGTTTGCGAAATGTACAACTGTAATGACTTTCACTAAACCAAGATACATCTTTCCATTGTTATGACATCTTAGAACAGCACTTCCCACTTTACCAGCGAAACACTGGCAACTCATATCAGCCATCCCTGTCAAGTTAGATCATCAGTCTAGTATTAAACTGGACAAATGTAGACTAGGAGCTATTGTCAAGACTATCCAAATCTAATTTTGCTTTGAAACCTTACAGCTGTCAGAAAGAGACACCACTGTTAGCTTGGATTCACAACTCTTTTCTGATACACAAATAAACAAATGTTATGGATTATCTTTACACTAACATGCTTAAGGGTTTCAGATTTGATATAGTCAATATTTCAATGAGTAATATTTTCTGTGATTATTTTAGGAAAGGGTAGGGGGGAATCTATAGCTTTAAGTTTACACAAAGAAGTCTATCAATTGTATAAGCATAAGTACAATAGCTGTAACAGACCGAGCCAGTAATGGTGGAATAATAGTACATACCTTATTGGTATACTTAGTCAGGTCAGCAGCAACATCCGCAGATGGAGTAGCTATGGGGAGATCAGTGCTGTAGGTCGAACTGGAAGAGGCACTGACCATGGCTGAGCTGTTCCCTGCTGTAGATGCTGATGAACTGCTGGTAACCAGAGTAATGGAAGACGTTGAGGTGGCCAGCGTGGCCTCTTTCTGCTGCACAGCTGCAATTAGTAAAGAACGAGCGATTTGTGCTGTGACCTTTGCATTCGCTCTAAATCACACACACTGCGTAAATCATACAAGAACAAATATTGCTACTTCCATGGGACGATGAACTCTCATCGCGTAACCAAAGGCACATTGAGTTAATGTGGAGAATGTAATGTGCACAACTGCAACACTGATAATGTGTGGCTAATTTCTTCATAGTCCTTCCGGACAGACCCAGCCTGAAGAGGAGAAGTAAGTCAATCCTTTGATTATGTCTCAGCCACACATCGCGGATACCTCAAGTGACCTCAAGTATTTACCACGAAATATATAATATGTGGGTGGGTGGTGAGGGGGTGCGGGAGGGAGGGGGGCAGAGGAGGGAAGAAGAGAACAAGTGGAGAGACAGTTTTTAAAATTGATCTTTTAAAATAAAGACAAGGACATTGAAACTTCAATGAAATGCAAACTTACACATTGCAACGAGCAAGTAGCTATTAATCGGCACATTCCCACCACTGTACATGCTGTAGCTAGAGACTGGACCCACAACGGCACAACGTGCAAGAAGAAAAACGTCCTCTTCACAAACAGCATGCGGCCAGGCATTGCACAGGCACTCGCCGAGACACACAAGGTCCTTTTAGGATCTGTGCTAAAGAGGACACGAGCTTGGCAGGAGGTGACCTCGCACGCCAATTCCCCCCAACACTAAACAAGATGACACTTCAGGATGGAAGAGATTTCACTGATGTGACCAGAGATCCAAACTGCTCTTTCCCAATACTGAATTTCAACGAGAATAAAAGTGTGCTTTTGCTAACAAAGAAAGACTGGTTGTTTCCCGTGGCTTCCCATTTTTTAAACCTGGGCTAGTTTGCTTGATTATTGTCATCATTGTAAGAAGGAGGACCACTAAGGCCACTACGGGGCTAACTATCCCCTATTGCATCTCGAAAAGTTTCCAATCGACAGTTCCTTCAGTTTCCTACTTTTGATCCAATTTTCCACCTAGAATTGACAAGACCTCAGTGAGGTTTTACCATAGAGATTAATGTCTGTGATGAACCAGAGAGCAAGGGAATGTGCAAACCTATTTTAACCATATAGGTATGTATATCTTTTACACATAAAAGTCACAAAAATATAAACTATTCCCTACCTTTCACAGCCAGTCTTGTCTGGTAGCGGGTTCCTGTGTTTGGGGACTGTTGTTGTGGTTGTTGTTGCTGCTGTGGTGGTGTTGCTTGTTGTTGTTGCTGCTGCTGTCTCTGAACCTTCTGCATGTGCCACTTTTGTGAGGATGTCTGGAATTTGCTGGAGGGATTCCACACCACCGCCCGCTGAACAGCCGGCACAGTTTCCTTCGGCAGTAACGGCCGCTGTTTCTTCACCGGGCTGTTGCTGGCAGTAACGGCTGGCACCGTAGATGTGGGGACGGCACTGGCTGTGGTTGTGACGCTGGTTGAAGGGACCTGACTTTGGAGGCTGGGGAGTGAGGTGGCCTCGACTTTTGGTTGACTGGACGCAGCAGCGGAAGTGGGCGAGGCTTTACCTGCAGAGATAATTCAAAATAGAAATTCTTGAAACTTTTCGGATTAAATTAAAACTTAATTGAGACAAAAAAAACCTTTTTACAATATACAGTATCCCAATGACACAATCCAATCAGTCAAGAAGCAAAATCAACAGTAATCACTGAGGACTCACTTGCCCACCCAATTTGACAAAAATATACAGTTTGAACCAAAACTTTAAAACAAAGTTTTACACAACATACTTTCTGGATTTGGTGTCGATGGTGCTTCTTTCACCATTGGTGTTGGGGTGGGCTCCTTTTTGCTCTTCTCCCCTTTCTTGCCCTCACGCACAGTCTCTTTGCTATCATCTCCCAGATCTATAACCAGTTCATTCTCAGAGTCAGAATCAGAGTCCAACCCCAGGCGCACTGTTGGAGAATCAGTCTCATCTTTACTTCCCATTTTCTCCTTCGGGCCCTGCATTTTCTCAGTGAGTTCTTTCTCTGAGTCTCCATTTGCCTTTTCCTTTCCAACTATCTCATTTTTACCCACAGCAGAAGATGGGCTACCCTCTTGCTTCACTTCACTCTGACCCATGACCTGTTTTGGCTTCTTTTTCACAAAGGATGAATCTTTTTCACTCCTGGAGCTTTCTTTCTCCTCTCCCTCCTCTTGACCATTATTCAGTTTCTGTCCATCATCGCTGTAATCGCTATCGCTAGTGTCCGATTTTTCAGATTCTTCCGAATCGCTGTGTTCATCAACTCCTGCATCCACGTCCTCAGAAATTTCATTTATTCCTTGGGATAAAAACATGCTTTTTCAGACGTTACTGAAGTTGATTAGCATTCAGCAATAATATTTTCAATCAAGTATTTGGAGGTTTCATAGACTGGTCAGCACTAATAATACAGAAATCCATATGCAGAGTTTTAAAACAAAAGTTGAGGGTTTAGTAACTTAATGCGATTCAGCTTTCCTCAACAGATGCATTTCATCAGTTCTTGTTCAAGGCACAAGTCAGACCACTGCATTAATAAAGTGCTCTATCCTGGCAAAGAAGTTACTGATGGCCATTACTGCTCCTCATCAACACCCATCCAAATACCAATCTTAGACCAACATCAAAGATTAGAAGTGTATGGGTTAGATTATTACACCTTCCTAGCCAAAAAGAAATGGGGCTGATTGGAAGTCGCGATAAGGCGTTATATCAAATCAAAAGTTATTAGGATTATATAATTATTAAAAGGCATTTTAAATTTCAAGTGTGTCCGCAAAGACAGTTGTGACAATTTTTGTTAAGCATATATAGACCAGGTTTATCAAGACTTTCCTGGTCTAAATTATGTTACTAAAAACAAAACTATATTCCTACCAAGCTGTGCTTTACAGCTCTCTATTGTCTTGTCCAGGTTAAGCAGGAAGCTGCTCCGAATCTGATGCTTTTTTGTTGAAGTGATGACCACAGGAGTTGACTGCTGCACGGATTCACTCAGCTCTTTCAAATCCATCTCTGCTTTGCTGCGATCTGTTACATGAAAGAAAGTTTCTAAGCAGAAGGTCAAATAAAATTCTATAGCTTTAACTTGATGCAAAATGTCACCGATTTCTGAAACACTTGAACCCAAGCGCCAGTTTAGCACCTGAGTACAATGGGGAAGTTTGCTGCTGCACCAATATACTACATCTTGGAGTAGTGCAGTATATTTTGAGCATGAGTTAAGTTTGCAATCTGACCTCAAAATGCAGCCAGGACTCTTGGACTGATGAGTACAAAAATAAATGACTCTTCTCTTTGTCTTTTCCAGGTATGGCAGTAGTTTGAAGGAAGGGCAATTTGAAGATGTTTAAACAAAAGTGAAGGCTGTCTGTCTGGTGTGTTAAATCAGGTTTCCGAATGTAACTTTAGAAGTACACACAAATATTGCCCCTCCCGTTCTCCTTCCTTGAAGGCTTGCTCTCTTTCACGCAATATTGATAATTGCACAAATATTTGTGCGTGTATAGATATTTTACCCACACACACTCACTCTTCAACAGTGTCCCTCCCTCCTTCCCAAGTACTGAATTGGTGGAGCAGTTTCTGGTCACACTAACCCAGGTTGAGGTTCAGAATGCTGCCTGTTGGAGGGGTTTTCAAAGTCCTCTCTGTTTTGATAGCGATGGGAGTGGATGACTGAGGGGAGAAGGGTTTGGGACTGCCTGAAATACTACCACCATGACTAGTCTTCACAGATCCGGGAGAAGCTGAAAGAAAAAGAAATCAATCCACATGTAACTGGCTTATAGCTCCTAGGTTTTTAAAAGAATAAATCCCATTCGTGCCATAACTGGGTGAAGAGTTGTTTAAAATGTTTAAGAGCTAAATCAAACATATTTATGTGTGGACTACGATACATCCATTATACTCAGTAAATAATGCCTGGATTTAAAAATTTGTTCAAAAGCAAATTAAATAATATTATAGAAAATAATACGCTGAGATATAATATATAGTTTGGGATATGCCCTGGAGGGTCATGACCCCTTTCCTAGATATTTTAAAGGCATCAACTCTCAGGAGTATCCATCCTCAGCAGCTTCCCATTGCCTCGTGAATTCATTCTTTTTCACCACGTGATTTCACAGAGGAAACGCAGTACACACCTGCGTTCCGATCAATGAAATCCATAGACTCCTCGCTTGCGCTGAAGTGACTGGAGGTCGCTTTCATGCCCTTGTCTGCGGTTTCGGCTTCCACATCAGACCCAGTGTGAACAGAAGAGTTTGTGCTCATCGGTGAGCGGGGCATGTCCAGGGAGATCCTCCGGCTGGGGCCGCTGATGAGCAAAGGCTTGCTGAGCACAATCTTCGGCGATGCGGTCATGTCAAAGTTTAATTTAATCTTTTCATATTTATCAGGTTTCGCAGTCCCTGCTGCTGGGTTCTGAGGGTCGTTCAACATCTGGTATTGGTTGTTGGGAGTGTACGGTGTCCTGAAAGGTGCATAATTGAACACTCCAAACTTTTTGCGGATATTCTCCACGTAAACCTCCATCTCCTGCATGGCACTGTTAAAGATGCTTTTTGTCTTTTTCACAGAAAACGGGATTTCCTTAGACATGAGGTAGCAGTTATTCATTGGAACCCAGGCCCTGTGTCACGGAGGAAAAAAATATGATTTTATTAAATGATAAACCAAAATATCCTGGTTGGTTTATATTGATGTTTTCAATTCTTATTTCCCCAGTACAACAAATTATTTCAGAAAAAAACACAGGCACACTAGGATTCTGCTGAATTGAAGGCTTCTGCTAATTTATACTCAGTTTGGTAGCTCGGAGGCATGTGAGGGAGCTTCTCAATGTCCCTGTCCATAAGCCAGTTGTGCCCTTACCTCTCAAGCACAGGATATGTTAAGAGTGCCCTAGGAAGTCACAGGCAAGTAGGAAATGTCGTCCATAGGATGGGACTCAAAAAAACACCATCCTTCAAGTGTTGTTTAAACTGATACCCTATGCTTCATCAGGTCTCCAGCATCCAAGCCCCAAATCATCAAAATTTAAAAAAAACTGGTAATACAACGCCATTAAACATAATGTGGAGTCCTGTAGCTCAGTCGTGGAGTCCTGTAGCTCAGTGGTTAGAGCACTCGCTTTGCAAGTGAGACACCTGGGTTCAATTCCCGGCAGAGCGAAACCTTGGGCAAGTTTCCTTACTCCACACAGAGCCTAATAATAATCCCTCCAAAACCCAAAACAATAATAAATTGGTCATTTTCAATCCACGACTGTTTGTGGGACATTGCTGTGCGCAATTGGCTGCCGCGTTCGCCCACAAATATACAGTCAATTCACTTTACAGTATGTTCTGTGAAGCGCTTTGGGACGTCCTCCCGACGTGAAAAGCGCTATATCAAATGCAAGGATTATTATTATTATAAGAAAACAAAATTATTTAGCTGAGAATTCCTGTTTTTTATGCTCAGTATCTTTTTGATAATTGCCCAGAATCCAAATGCTAAACGTTCTGAGAAATGGCTTTCTGAACATCAATATCTGGACAATATAAAAGACAGGTCATCTCTCACCTGTCATGCTGTCCAAAAAACCGGGCATCAACCTGCCCATCCTTGTCTCTCAGTGCTTTTGCAGGCCAGAATGGAAAGCCTTTAAGTTTAGCCCAGACAAGCAAGTGTGGATTACTCTGTATAAAGAAAAAAAAAGTGTGATGCTTACAGGACGAGTACAGAACAACAGAGAAGCAGCTGAAGAAGAGAAAATGAATAAGAGAAGGAAAGAGTACTTGTTCAGAGCTAAAGTTTCTTAAAGACTTTACAAGACAGAGGATTAAGCTATGAGTGTTAATGTGACATGCACAGGGAGTGCTCTACCACTATAGAGAGTATTCACAGCTTGTTATTTTAGATTAATTAGTTAGTTACAGGATTTCCACTTACACAGGGTTCACAGAACCAGTTGTCTCTCTTCTGGCAAGATGCTAAATAGCATTCCGGACAAACCTCAATCTCATTCATCTGTTTTTTTTTAAAAAAAGAACCCAAATGGGAAGACAATTTTTAAAAATTTACTTCAGTAATTAACATCAGCCTCCTGAATATTTTACATCCTCAATTTAATATAAAAAATCTTCATAGCTCACTGTTACAAGCATTTCTTTCAACTTTAACATGTGGTAAATTATCAATAATTTTCAAATATTCATACACATTAAGTTCATGTGGTCCAAAATTATTTTAGTTACCAATGTGTTCCACTGAAGTTCTTTTAAGAAGATTATTTCCTCCAAAAATAAATTCAATAAAAACAAAAAGGATTCATCGAGGCAAACAACGACAATATTTGGGTGAGGAACAGTTTTCCAATATTCCCATTGGGAAGGTAGAGTACAACGTACATATTGGATAATTGCTTGTACATTCATAAGAAATAGGAGGAGTAGGCCATTCGGCCCCTCGAGCCTGCCCCGCAAAGCACTCCCACAGTTGGTCTAACCCAGGTTTGATGCAGAGCAATACTCCTCCCCATGCAAGTCTCAGAGTGGTTTAGTTGGTAAAGGCACCATTTAGTGCAAAACTGAACCACTAAAAACAAGGATCCAGATTTGATTTTCAGTAGTTGTAGGATTCACAGCTAACAGATTGTGGGGAGGTCAAAACAAGTGAAGATTCCTGCTTTTGATCACCATCCAGTGACCCCTGGACACATGTTTACTTGTCGAGTGAGGACAGGACTAGGCTTGGCTGTGATGCCCACATTCAAATAGCTGCCGACACATAGGATCTAGGCTCATGCATGAAGGAAGATCCTCTTGAGAGACACTAGTGTTTGAAGGACCGTTCTCCAGCTAGTGATAACCAGTGATAGACAGTGAGAAGAGGGAGCAATTAAGAGGGGCAAGGGGAATAAAAAAAAGTCGTCTCAATGTAACACAAAGTACAGTGGTTCCAAAACACCACACGACTGTCCATTACATACTTACTTCATGCTCGCAGATTTTAATGATCACCTTTGCTGTTGCTGTTAATTTGTGATTCGCTGAAACAATACAAAAAATTACTTACTTTAAATGCAGCTCATTTTAGTTCAATAATAAGGTATGCATTGCAGTGTATGTGCTAAGAATATGACAGAGTGTTATAAAAAATTCCTCCATGTTTATTTATCTCCCTATCATTACCTGACATTTCTTTCAAGAAACTACAAAAAAGTTTATACAGCACTCAGTCTGAAACGCAGGTAATTTATGCATGAGAATTTATATTATGCATGAGTTATTTTACCTCACTATGCTTTTCAAACATAACAAAACAACAAAATTACATGTATAGAGCGCCTTTCATGTCGGGAGGACGTCCCAAAGCGATGAACAGTCAGATGTCGGGGCCCGAGTATGGGGGAGGGATGGTGTAGAGGTGAGGGAAGGCAGAGAGGTGGGAGGGAGACCAAAGGCACGGTCGAAGAGAAGGGTCTTGAGACCGGCCTTGAAGGATGCAAGGGACAAAGCGAGGCTAAGGGACCGTGGGATGGAGTTCCAGAGTGTAGGGGCAGAGAGGCTGAAAGCCCGGCCACCGATGCTCGGAAGGGAGACATGGAGCAGGCCGGAGCCTGATGAACGGAGGGAGTGGGCAGGTTGGTAGGAAGTCAGCAGGTCAGAGAGGTAGGAGGGGGCAAGGCCGAGATTTTGAACTCGATCCTCTGGGGGATGGGGAGCCAGTGGAGTCGGGCGAGAGTGGGAGTGATGGGGTCATGGAGCATGGTGCGTGAGAGTACACGAGCTGCAGAGTTTTGGATGATCGGCAGCTTGTGAAGGGAAGAGTTGGGAACAACAACAACAACAAGATTCCATTTATAAAGCGCCTTTCACGTCAGGAGGACGTCCCAAGGCGCTGCACAGTTGGGTCATGACCCGAGCAGGGGGGAAATGGTCAGGGTGAGGGGAGGGGAGGGAGCGAGGAGGGGGGAAATGGTCAGGGTGAGGGGAGGGATGGGAGGGAGCGAGAAGGGGGAAGAGAGTCGAGAGGGGAGCTGAAGGCTCGGTCAAAGAGAAAGGTTTTGAGACCGGCCTTGAAGGAGGAAAGGGAGGAAGCAAGGCGAAGGCACTGGGGGATAGAGTTCCAGAGCCTCGGGGCTGAGAGGCTGAAGGCCCGACCACCAATGGTAGGGCGATTGGGGCGGGGGACGTGGAGCAGACCGGAGCCGGAGGAACGGAGGGTACGGGCAGGTAGGTAGGGGGATAGTAGGTTGGAGAGGTAGGAGGGAGCAAGGCCGTGAATGGCCTTGTAGGTGAGGATGAGGATCTTGAAATCAATCCTCTGGGGGATGGGGAGCTGGTGGAGGCGAGCGAGGGTGGGAGTGATGTGGTCCCGAAGCCTGGTGCGGGACAGTACACGAGCTGCAGAGTTCTGAATGACCTGCAGCTTGTGGAGGGAGGTGGCGGGAAGGCCGGCGAGGAGAGAGTTCCCATAGTCCAGCCTTGAGGTGACAAAGGCGTGAACCAGGGTTTCAGCAGCGTGAGGGGTGAGGTAATGGCGTAGTCTGGCGATGTTCCGGAGGTGATGGAAGGCGGTGCCAGTTGTGGTGCGGATGTGAGGGAGAAAGGACAGCTCAGGGTTGAACAAAACGCCGAGGTTCCTGACTGGCTTTGAGAGGTGGAGAGTGTAGCCTTGGATGCTAATGGTGTCGGTACCTGAGGTGCGGAGGCGCTGACGTGAGCCAATCAGGAGGGCCTCGGTTTTTCGCACGTTGAGCTGAAGAAAGTTGTCTCTCGTCCAGGACTCGATGTCGGACAGGCAGGCTGTCAGGACATCGGTGGTCGTGGAGTTGAGAGTAGAGGAGGAAAGGTAGAGTTGGGTGTCATCCGCATACATGTGGAAGTTAACCCCATGTTTGCGGATGATGTCACCGAGGGGGAGCATATAGAGGGTGAAGAGGAGGGGACCAAGGACAGAGCCCTGAGGGACTCCACATGAGACAGTACGGGGGGTGGAGGAGAAGCCATTCGTCGAGACAAAGTGAAGACGGTGAGAAAGGTACGACCTAAACCACTCAAGGACAGTGCCTTGAAGGTTGAGGTGGGAGGACAAGCGGTGGAGTAGGATAGCGTGGTCGACCGTATCGAATGCTGCCGATAGGTCGAGGAGGACGAGGAGGCAGAGGGAGCCCTGGTCACAGATGGTCAGGATATCATTGGTGACCTTGACCAGGGCAGTTTCTATGCTATGGGCAGCACGGAAACCTGACTGAAGGGGTTCGAAAAGAGAATGGGTGGAAAGGAAAGAGCGCAGTTGGGAGGCGACAACTCTTTCCAGGAAGGCCGATGAGGAAAGAGTTCCCGTAAATCAAGCCTTGATGTGACGAATGCGTGGGTGAGGGTTTTGGCAGCCTGAGGGGTGAGGCAGTGGCGGAGTCTGGCAATGTTGCGGAGGTGGTGGTAGGCAGTGCCAGTCATGGCTCGGATGTGGGGGAGAAAGGACAGTTCAGGGTCAAACAAGACACCCAGGTTCCTGACCGGCTTAGTGAGGTTGAGTGCGCAGCCATGAATTAATTAATTAATTACGAAAGGAAAATGTGGCAATGTTTAACATTAATTATTTTAAGAACTTGATTTCTTTAACAATGGCACGTATATGAGGCATCCTTCATCACAAAGAGATGATATGAAATCCTCAACATGTTAGAATAAGTGAAGCATACATCCCAATAGCAGACACTTACCTCCATTATATATGATGCAGTTATGTAATATCCACTTGACATCAGCCAGGAAAGCCTCAGTGCAACCATACATTTTCTTCTTGACATTCTGGGAAAACAGAGCCACACAGTAGGTGTAAACACACCATTGAGTATCACAACAAGTACATCAACCCACCACAATGACCCTGCCGTCACTACAGTACAATCTGCTCATGGGATTGGACTTCATGAGTCAGTTTTATAGGCCAACTGATTAATAATGGTCACATTCCAATGAAATTATTGATGGGTTAGGAGAATTATTGTTACCCAGCACACCAATCAATATGTATTAATTCTGGGGACAGATAGTGAAATGGTTCAGCGTCTATATTGACATGTGATGTATACAGTAGGATGTAACCAATGGTTCCTATTTTAGAGGATCAATGATCTTGCAGCAATCCCAGGGTAAGATTTGAAATGAGTAAGGTTTAAAAATGTAAAACTTCTAAAAATCACAACTCTCCAAGAATTCAACTCTCCTAAATAGGCCGGTAATGAAAAAAAGGTTCAGTATTAGCATCCAGAAACACAGACCAGTGAGATCCCAGGTCCTCCTGGTCAGTTACTGAATTAGCTTATCTCAGCCAGGACAATATTTATCCTATCTCGTCATTCTTAGGCTAAGGAGGGAAGGAAAATAAACAAGGAAGCATTTTGAATTGCCAAGGCTATGGAGTGGTGTCCGCTAGAAAGGATGCATGTTGAGGGCAGGTTGAACCCTGGTGTGATCCTTCGCTTCCCTTTTGGAAAAAAAACCCCTGCAGTTTCTCATTGCTCAGAATGGCAGTTTTGGCAAGCGACAAAGAGAGAGGTTATCCATAATATTTTAACACAGTACAAGCCAAAACCTCCAGGAGAGGAGATCGAAAGCAAACAAAAGTTTGTTTGTTTGTATTGTTTATAGTATTGTTTGTATACATACATTGTATGTATATATATATATTGTTGCTGGTACTGCTCAAGTTTTCAGAAACACGTTGTTATGATCACTGGATGGTATATTTTTGCACTGATTATTGTAGTAACCGAGTCATTCCACAGGATGGCACCGGCAAGAACAATAATTTATATCATACAGTAATGAAGAGCGAAAGAAAAAGGAAGTTAGAAATAAAATGTAAAGTGTTCATTTTAAAAAAACAAGGAATGGAGAGATAAAGACCCAAATCTATGAAAAGTGTCTGTAATTTAACTAAACAAACCAGGAGAGCTTTACATCTGAGACTTACCTTTTCCAGTGTGCAAATGTCCATAGGATGAAATATGTATTCTGCATAATCTGGATGTTGTTCTAATGAGACTGGTTTCTGGAAAGGCTCCGTCTGTTAAAAAGGAGTATTTGCATTTTCAAGGCGTTGTTTAAATAAAATGGCCGGCAGATATTGAACTGATGTTGAAAGAAACATTCAGGTGCATTTCCTTCAGAAGCAAGAGGACAGTCATCTCTTTGATTCATCGACTCTGGATGAAAGCAGCTGTGTTTCAATAGCACCTTTCATCAATTTGAAAATTTTTGCTCACATAAAGAGAAGAGGAAATACGGACTCGCATCAGTAAATTATATGGGCCTTGGCAAACAAGTACAAGAGAGGTAAGGTTGAAGAAGCCCTGTTAAACCACATCTTTCCAAAATACTAATAATCGTGTGCAAAGGCACTGCACAACTAGGTTGAACAGAGTAAAAGATTGCTGGTTTGATTCCTGTTCCGTGCTAAATTATTTCAGACAGAGAAGCAAGTTGGGGTCACTATAATCTACCTTTGTGTCTTTTGGGCTAGGGAGAGGAAATAAAAGGAACAGCTGGGATTTCTGCTTTTCATATACGTGTGGGAGTCTGGACCGAAAAATAAGAGTGACTTGTGCGGGTACAACATGGATACCATTGTCCCTAAAATATGGGGCAACACCTCAGCCACAAACTAAGCTTCAGGATCGGAACAGAAATGAAAGACAAAAAGGAAAAAAAATCTGTAGAATGAAAGAGTTACCATGACATATTTCCAGAAAATTAACACCTCTAACCCCCCACCCCGGTAAACATTGGGAATGCACAACTAAACCGTGTCATCTAGCGGTGATGAGCCAGCTAATCAGTATTGCTATGCTGCACAAACAGGTTATGTGTCCTGCCATTTCTACTTACTCCTGGTTGTTTCATCTTCTGTAGTGCAAATTTCAGCAGGTAAGACAACTGATCTATAGTGAGCATAGTCATGGCTTTACTCTGAGTTTCAATACATTCAGCGACTGTGATTTTCTGTTAAAGATAACAAAACAAAAGGGATTAGACAGTTAGTCAGTTTGCTTTATTTTTCAGCTTTGACCTTCACATCAGTTGTAAATGACCTCAGTAGAATAAGAACAGGGTGTCATGAAGACTTGTGGATAATCCAATATTAATCTTCAAGATACATTTATTTATGTATAAACTCCATCACTTTGTGAATGGCTGGAACACCAAACATAGCCAAAGTCACCAGCTTTTACACCAAAATGACTTGTTAACCTTTTGAGAAATTCAGATAAATTTTAATAATGAAACTCTTCCGATTCCAAATGCTATAAAATACAATAAAGAGAAAAAAATTGAAACTGTAAAACTTAAGAGCTTTAAAAAAAATCGTCTTGGGACTCAAATCCTCTTTCATTACTCAAAAGGCTAACATATCACGTATATATTTGATCCAACATCCTTAGAGAACGCCAACCATGTTCTTAGCACTGTGAGTCAGTTCCCTGTACCCATACCACTTTGTGTTATCAATGAACCTCACCCGGGAATAGTGGCTACATGCACCTTTTTAAATTTATCGTCCAAAAAAGAAACCCCTTGACTCTTCGCTCTTTTTTAAAAAAAAATTTGATTAAATTTTCATGCCCGTTTCCCTCACCATAATTGTAACCGTCTGTTACCATACCTCACATTCTGGACAGAACCAGTCCCCTTCCGGTTCAGCGTTCAGTTTTAAACACTTTGCATGGTAGACACGAGGACAGAGCTCGCAGCACAGAACCTGGCCCTCCCGGTGGCACACCCAGCAATAGAAGTCATTTCGACCATCCTGTGGTACAACATGAAGAAGGTCTTTGGTGAATGGCTGCTTCATAGAAGCAAAGGGACCACGTCTAAGTGTCAACTGAAATGGCAGGCAAGAGAAACAGGCTTGGTTTCAAAATGGGATGATCAGCATTTGTTAGGGTGCAAAAAAAATACCAGTTCTGTTAGGCTTTTCGTCCCCGCCACCAGATGGTTAGGGATGTAATCATTGAAAACCGTCTCGACAACGCAAGGTTGTCACAACAGTACAAAATAGTCAAGAGACTAGTGCCAGGCTTTTCGTTTTCTGAAGCAAGTCACAAAAAGGTTCTGCAATTCAGGCCACTGTGCTGCTTACTTTCACTTAATTCTTCAGTACACGAGTCTTGAAAGATAGGAAAAGAACCCCAAAATATTTTGACGTGTAACCTTCTGTACAGAAGTAGAAGAAAAGCACAGAGGCAATGCCCAATTGATTTTAGGATTCCAGAAGACTTGCAGAGACTTATTTTAAAATCAATTTTTTTTCTCTTAAATACGCACAGTTTGTGCACAATCAGGAAAATCCCTCCATCTGAATAGTGAATTCGATACCTAACAAGTACCGGTATTCTAATTACACTGCATCATCTCACATCTACTGTACTTAACATTATTAAAAATTCTAATTTGTTAAGATTTATTTAGAAATACTGCAGCAATATTTTACAGTGCATAAGAAACTTGTTCTTATGTTAAGTGACTAAAGCCACAAATCTTTTTTGGACAGTTTTCTGGTGTTTGCTCAATTAAAAGCGCCCACGGGCCTCCAATGTGCAATAGTTAGTGAGGAAAGTAATAAAATAAATCATGTAAGGAAGAATACAGCCCCTGCAAACATGCAGCCTGTAAACGGCAGTGCTTTTGAGCACCAGCGTGCATTGAGTTGGTGGAGAACATCACAGGGGTAAGTAGCTTAGCCACAGGGAGGCACTGAACCCAAAACCAGGTGTTTCCTCACAAGGTGGAGAGCAAAAATCTGCACAAGAGTCATCCATGCAGTCAGTGCAATGCCCTGAGGAGCAACACTCACAGGGACTTTATCCTTAAAACAAGTGCGGCAAAAAGTGGTGCTCCTTCACCTTTTTTTTGATGACGGTAACTGACCAATATGGTGTATTCGCATGCAAAATTAAGCCCATTCAAATTTAGGGTAGGGTTCACTGATCTGACTAGGCAGACAGTCTACGAGACAGTCTGTCTGAGGCCCACAGGTGTGCAACATGAATTCCTGTTCATTGTTACACAACATTGGGTAACGAGTAAAAACTCACACCAGAAAATCTACTGTCTAAAAAGGACATTCTGAAATCTTTGTGCACAATTCAAGACAGCAGATTTGAGAATACCCCGGAACCAGTTGATTAAGAAAAATGTTCAACACGTGACCTGGCTTCAAGACCCAGTTGTGCGAGGTCGCAAGTTAAATATTTTTAAATTGTTTTTATATATAAAAACCTCATTCAGCAGGTTTCTTGGTGGGATATTCTACTTGTACCATGGATGTCCTTCCTTCTTTCCCACCCCGCTCCCTTTCAGCAATTTTGTAATATAACTAAAATTGCTTTTGCACAGAAAACAGAGGGATATGTTTTTGCTTAGATCATTCCAGCTGTAGCCGACTGAAACACACCTTGTAGAGGTGTTAAACATCTCCTTTTGTCTTCTGATTTTGAGGTACACAAAGAGTTTGCAACCCGGGAATAAGATAGTTTTGCAGAACTGATCAAGAATATTTGAAGAGTTCAAGGTGAAGGAAACTAGATATTCTTAGAACAATTAAAAAAAAATTAAATTTCTACAAATTGAATGGGCGGTCTGCAGTTGAATACTTCAATTATTCCTTCATTCTTACTAATCTCCCCATATTAAATTAAATATTTACTCCAGTCCAAAAGCTATAAGCCTCTGCGCACAGCAACTCAACTTTAATAGATCTCAGGCTTAGTATAATTGGACAATTTGCGTCAAATGTGTCTTGAGAGGACATCCATGGTATAAACTTCAAGATCATTGATGATAAATATTAAATACTCAGTTATGAAATAAAATGACAAGACTACCACAAAACATTCCTAATGGGTAGTTTTTAAAGACACAAATATAATTGTGTGTGTGGCTGGGGAATCCTTTCAGCTGATTTGTTTTTCTATGCTTTTTAATGAGAAGGAGGTTGGTTGAATTGCAAAGGTATATTTAAAAAATATTTTTGTAGTCATTTACGGATCTGATTAAGGCGTTAAAGCCAATGTTCTACATTTTATGAACTTGAATGATGGAATCAAAGCCAGATAACCAATTTAGCATAAAATATTTAACTGTTGCATGTGGAAGAGAGATGAAAAAAATGTCAAAAGTAGTGCCTAATTCAAAGTTACAATAGGCCATCACCGGTCAGAGATTGAAAACTATCTTCCATCAGACAAAATACTCTATCCCAGCTACATGGGGCAGTAAGACCTTTATTTACAATGAATTACGAACTGAATTCAGACACATGGATGCCTGAAACAGTGTTTGCTGCTAGAGGCACAGGTATTTGGGACAGATGCATGAGGACACCCAGTGCAGCTGATGTGTAAAGACAAAAGTGTTCCCTACCAAATAGAAGATGTTAAGGAATCACTAACAGCCAACCTGATGTGAAGAACAGTTCAAGGTGCCCATGCAATGATTATATTTAGTTCACAACATCCAGGATACCTCTGGTTCTATCCTTGATCAACCGAGTTACTTGTCAATCCGATTAAAAAGCAAGCAACACTGAAATCACATGCAGTGATGGTCTTGTGTTAAAGCACCACACATCCATTAATAAATCTGACTGAATCTCTGGTGACCTTATTCCCTCTTTAAATCAAAACGATTCCCTTAGATTTCCACCAATCTCAGAGTTTGGGCCGAATCAAATAACACACAGCAATATCACCGCCAATAACAATCACAACTGGTTAGCGGATCACTAACCAAGGACTCTCAAACTTTTACCAAGTTTAGATTACAAGGGAAGATGATCTGGTTAAATCCTGGGCTCCTAGTCATACCGAGTGTTTGGTTAATAAACCACATGCAATAGCCATAATTGGACACATTTGTGGAGGAGATAATCTAACTTGGTATCAGCTGAATTTCTAATACGAGGGGGTAAAAGAGCTCCTCCTATATGGCCTGGTGGGTGAAAGCACGTCCCGTGTAGCAGTGCGCCTGACAGAACATCAGGTTTGGATTCGTGGCTGTTGGCTGATGGCAGCCTGGTACAAATTGATCTTAAATCTGGACTATGAGATGAAGGGGAATATCAGAATTCCCGCCTCTGAAAGCGATACAATTCTCCCAGCGAGAAGGTGCACACGTTGCTATCGGGATCAAGCTCTGCTGCAATGCTCTCCACGATCAAATAGCCTAGCAATACTCACTGTCTAGGTGGGCTCTTGGGAAGGGCACGAGTGGAACCCTATCCCAGCAAGAATGACTGTCTTCAAGAGAGAAGGGGAAAAAGTTTGCAAGAAAAGTGTCAATAAATAAAGGTAAACTAATAAGCGTATCAGTTACAACCCTGAAGATGTACATCACCTCCGTACACGCACACACCACTCTTTCTGAAAAAAGAAAGCGAGAGGCACACTGATCAGTCAAATCCATTTGAGAGCCCATCAAAGCAAACCTACGTGCAGATTCTTGTCTTTGAAATGGTGAACAATGATAATAATAATAATCCTTGCATTTGATATAGCGCCTTATCACGTCTTCTAGACCTCTCAAAGCGCTTCACAGAATATGCTGTAAAGTGAATTGACTGTATATCTGTGGGCGAAACGCGGCAGCCAATTGCACACAGCAGTGTCCCACAAACAGTCGTGGATTGAAAATAACCAATTTATTAACAATGACGTGCCTACACTATTTCATGGAAAAATTCTGAGAAACAAACTTTACAGTATATCCTGTCAAGTGCTTTGAGACATTGACAATGTGATAGGCACTGTATCAAATGCAAATATTATTAGATATTCACAAATAACTCCTAGATCTTTTCATCAATCAGCCTGCTGCCAGCATATATCCCATTTATGGCTCCTTTCACTAATTTTACACTGATCTACAATGAACCGCATCGCCTGGCCCAGTTATCTACAATAAATTATTCTGAAGCCAGTTGTACGTTCCTCACAATTTTCTTTTTCTATGTTCGTACAATCTATAAACTTTCACTAAACTTGGCCCAGGCATTAATGACTCAAACTAAAGATCCCAATACCAGCACTTGCAGAACCTTGCTCATAACCAACCTTCAGTATGAAACATCTTTCCCATTACAACAACAAAATAGTCATTATTACACTTTACAGTATATTCTGTGAAGCACTTTGAGACATCTCAAAAATGTGATAAGGTGCTATATCAAATGAAGGAATATTATTATCCTAACCTCACAATCTTACTTTTGGGTTAATTATCTATATATTGCTTTGCATTCCTCTGCTGCTGGTATAACTGTCAGATATGCTGTGATGGCCAGTGTGATCTATATGACTGTAGTACAAAGGAGACGAAGGAAAAGTCACAAACTTAATAAAGCTAGTCTGCTTTTTTAAATCTACCCCCAGTATCAATCAAGAAGCGTTTGAACAAGCACCAGTATATAAACAGAGGGAGGCAATATTGGAAGAAGAGAAAGTCTTTTCCTTTCCCATAGATTCTAAACCATGTTGCTGATGTTACGCTTGCATTGGATATTTGCTGGAGTGATTAGACAAGCCTTGAGCATCAACTCTGATCCCTTCATCTTTCAAAATACACAAATACTCTCAGATACAGTGGCTGTAGCCAGAATTTTGTTGTAGTTTTGCAAAGGATTTGGAAAAGCAGTCAAAATGTCATGAGAAGAAAACACAGTGCTGCAAATAAAGTTGTACAAGTATCAGGGCCTCCTTTAAAAAGGCAACAACATTTATTTTTATGGTGAAATGTGTTTATTTTAAATCTGGGTCACAGCGTAAAATAAAGAAAAAGGAATCTTTCACTGAAGTACATTGTTTTAAAATGGTTATGCAGTGGAAATCATAATACGATTTCTTCCCTCCCCGAGTTACCAAAGTAGGTGAAATGTTCCTCATTCTTTAAATGCTTTGCATACACAACTGTGCAATCATCCAGAAGGTGTGGGGGGAGGGGGCGGTAAAGAAGAGGAAACGAGAAGGATCACTTCACTTTGTCATCGCATCAACATGAGGCAAATTTGCTAAGGTGGGCTTCCCACTTCATTAAATATCAGGCTCAATATTAATCCACCCTCTAATCTCACGCTGTTGAAGACAACAGAAAACCACAAATAGGAATAGGACACCCCCAAGAATTGTATCACCAGGCATCGCCAGGTTAGAAAGCGAGAAAATTCATAGAGAACTTTAGGAAAGAGCTTTATTCAATACCTAGAAGCTGAACCACATTCACAAAATAAGGCAGACCAGGTAATTAACAGGTAAATAACATTCATTCTCATTCTTTCAACTTCCACAAACAGCAGCACTTTGCAAGAGTAGGCCAGAAAACTAAGGTGCGACTCTGAAGAGAACACTGAAGCCAACTCGGAGCACAGAACCGAAACTGCTGTCGAAGACAAGGATTCTCACTGAGAGCATGCAAGTTACTTCAAGTAGCTGTGTTGAGACAAATCTTCCACACCTTGACCAATGAAGCAGCCATCACACACTATACCCGTTAGGAATAAATAAATTCCCAACTGGTATAGAATTCCTTAAAAATTTCTAACCAGCAGGGTGTTGATGAAAGCTTGCTCAGATTAATCAGTTTGATGCCAATTGTATCTAGGCGTTTGTAGAAAGCTAAAGCTCCGAAAGTCATAGATGCAATATTTGTTTTCAGGGGGAGGGCAACCCACAGGTGGTGTAGAAGAATTTGACGATGATTTTCTTTTTTAAAAAATAACCCAGCAAGACGAAAGATGTAGTCTACAGAGTGCCTGCGACTTTCAGCCCCTCAGAAACAGCTAAATCTTCAATGTATGGTTTACGGGCATGATCCCAGATCCAACAGGTTGAAACTACTATAATGTGTTGCTAAATAAGTTTTTTAAAAAAACCACAAAATTTAATTTTAGTTTTTTTTATATGAAGTTAAACAAATGAGTTTTGTTATAAATCTTTACTCTTTGGTTCTAGCTCCTGGAATTTAGGTTATTATCATCAGCAGATAGGATTCCTTTACACACTAAAAATGGACAGAATTTTTTAATCTCAATCTAGAAATGAACTCTTGGACCACCTTCCAACATGTCGCATGCGTAGTGTGTCCAAAAAACACAAAATGGTATGATAAACAGGTACACTTTAGAAAATACTAAAAAAAGGTTATCAAACAACCTTGTGAGAAAGAGGATTCACTGTTCCAAAACTAATTGAAAAAATAAATGCTGGACTAGCGAGCACAGCATTCTGACTTTCCCCGAAAGGAAAATCATCTTTTTTTCAAACAAAAATTAAAGGAGCTAGTAATTTACAGAGAACAAGATGAAATGTAAAACTTTTTTTTAAAACCAATTTAAAAGCTGCATTACACCATTATTTGAAAATAAAATTTCCATGAATGAAAGGCTGGGAGAGGAAAAGAAATAAGATAACTGCATTGAAATTATAATTGCTCTCCACATTTTAAGGCACCTGTCAATCATTCAATATATTGTAGTAAATTTAGTGTGATGAGATCACACACACACACAAACCATATTGGTTTCCAGCTTTGCTCAAAAGCTGGGTCACAGTTCCACAGGTGCCACAAACCAGTGAGGATCAGGCTATTCTCTAGGTGGGAACTGAAACCGTGAGTATTGGTAGGCTATTCAAGGAGTAAATATCAGCCAAGCTCAATCCTCACTAACCTCTACACACACTTACCAGCAGAAGTAACTGAGTGGTGATTTGGATTATAAACCTTTCCCCACTTCTCTAGCTCATGGGCATCATTGACATTTATAGAAAATTATTAGGCAAGTTAGCCCAGACCCAGTGTCTTGAGCTGCTATCAATTACTTGTAGGTAACTGAAACATGGAGCTTCGAAAAATGGCTATTTGAATAAAAGCAGAGGATTGGCATGATAAATGGTTAAGCTTTTTAGCAATAAGAGTTTAAAACAGTAAACTCTGAATTCAAAGCACTGATCGTGCATATGCTCTGAAGCTAATTTAGGGCAGAGGAAGGTGGGTAGTGTTTTCATTAATATTGGATGGAGCGAAAATGATACCCATTACTCTTGGGAGGAGGGCGACTGAGAAAAGGGGCTGCTTGAATGAAAACGAAAGCTGGAAGGCAATATATGGTGCTGTGTTTTTCCACACCCAAGATTTTTCCTTATTTTATGCCAAAAAAACTTTGCAGGAATGCAGCAGCGGTTTCCTATTTGGAGGCCTCTTTGGTAACAGTGACCCACGATTAAGAAACAGAATAGTTTTCAGCAGAACTTGCTGTGTTTACTGACTGACTAAATTCTGATCATTCTGGGAACCAATTCTCTACTTTTTTTTAAAAAAGGAAAAAAAAGTCCATCAATTTTGCAATCATATAGTTTAATTTCTCAAATGTAATGTTTAATAATACAACTTTGCTTCAAATCGTTTAAAAAATGTTTTAGTGGGTCATTTCTGTTCCAAAAGGTGCCATATTTTGTGAAATATATGTGGAGTAATGCAGCTTGAATACAATTATAGTTTCAGAGCAGAAGCTATACGGGTTCACATGTTAACATACCTGCTCTTTGCTTGAATTACTTAATAAGCCAGGTTTCTTCTTCTTTTTAATGGGACTCAACGAGGATTCTTGCGGGGAATGTCCGTTTGACGATGGCTGAGGGCTAAGCTGCTTTCTTTTCAATCCTGTCCGTTCTGCAGAACCAGGATCTGGAAAATAAACTTCAACTTAAAATCAAGAGAAACTTGATCGATGTGCCAAAGAAACCCAAAATAGTAAAACCCATCATTAGTACTGAAGTAATGAAGCAATTACTTGGCAATTAGCACAAGCCACATTGTCTGGTTACGGGGTAATCACTCAGTTTCATTCTTCAAACTCTTAAGAATTTAAATTAGGTTCCATATACTGCGTACAAACTCATACTTTTCCTTCCTAAGTGGAATATTGGCACATTAAACTGTAAATGGAATGCATGAGAATCAACCGACTCATCCAAATGAGGACTCATTCATTATTGCGCATCTGGATCAATAACAAGGTGACAGTAATAGGTTTGTATGGACCAGCAGAATTTGCAGTTCTTGGGTGTCCATTGTGATCGTTGTAATTGTTCCTTTTTATTTCCCCATTTTGTTTTCAATTACTTTAAGACACTTTGACTTGCACAGTCAAAAGATATTGGGATTCCAGGCCCCTGGACGTTCTGTTCTGTAACTGGCCACCAGGAGGTGTGCACGAGCAGCACATGGCAAATTGTCTTTGGCTTTCACTCCCTCTCTGTCGGCAACTGCTGGACCACCTCCCGAATGATCCTCAATAGTTGGACAAATTCACTTGGTAGAAAGCAAATAGATATGGACTGAGTTCGCCAACTGCTTTGTAATTTTATTTTGGTGTTTATGAAGTGAAGTTTGATTTGAATACGGCAATGCACCACTCCTCCACTGTCCCCCACTAAACCCATCGCGGAGCTTAAACCCTCCCAACGTGAAAGGTGTTATAGAAATGTAACTTGTTGCGGGTGTCTGCGTGCGTGCGTGCGGGGTGGTTGGTCCTGTATGCTGCCTCAAGAGGTCAAAAGGAACAGAAGGAAACACTACTCCTTAGTCAGATTCCTGAATCGGCATTCCGTGATACAGAAACCTTTTTAAAAATTTGAGAAGTCGACTGAACACAGAGGGAAGAGAAAAACAACTGAATGAATTGATCAACTAAATACATTTTTGGGCAGAAATTTACGAGACTTGATCCACCCATAGCTCAGATGGCAAATGCTGGAGAGGGAAAAGTTTGGGAGCCACTCGATGTTGCTATTAGGCATAAACAGTACATTGATACAGATCTATATGATGCAGTGACTTATCTTCCTGACCCCTACACTATGGGACCTGCCTTCTCAACCAGTCCAGAGAGACAATAGCTTCCACTTAATCCTTTGTTGTTTTATGTGAATGAATGTAGAAATGCATGTAGGAATCCTGCTCATTGAAATCATTGTGGGACAAAGTCCATAGAATAAAATCATAAACTCAGCTTCGAAGGGCCAGTGATAAGAGAACTTTACTCTCAACTCACCTCACTTTTGCTTATGTGACAAGGGATATCAGTAAAGAACTTTAATAGCACCTTATCATATCAAAATGTCTCAAAGCATTTCAGAAGTAATTACGATCAAATGTAGTCTTTTTTTTTAAATAGGGCAAGGCAGCAACCATTTTGTGCCAGCAAAGTTCTGCAAACAGCCATGATGTGAATGACAAGTTAAAATGACAACTATACCTCTCTGCCTCCACCCTTGACTCCAGGACTACTGCTGTCCTGACAGAATGTCTGCAGCCCGTGTCCTCTCCCGCACCAGGCTCCGTGATCCTATCACCCCCACCCTCGCCCGACTCCACTGGCTTCCCATCACACAGAGGATACAGTTCAAGAGCCTGGTCCTCACCTTCAAAGCCCTCCATGATCTTGCTCCCCCCAACCTCTGCCACCTCCTAACCCCCTACCATCTTCTCGCTCCCTCCGCTCAGCGAGCTCTGGCCTGCTTCACATCCCCCGCCTTGCTCACCCCACTATTGGCAGGCGGGCCTTCTGCACTCTGCCCCCACCCTCTAGAACTCCAACCCGCAGTCCCTCTGCCTTGCCTCCTTCAAGACCCATCTCAAGACCCTCCTCTTCGATTGTGCTTTTGATCTCCCTGCTTCCCCCTCTGCCCTCCACCCTGCCCAATCCCGACCTCCAGCTTGGGTCCAAAACTCTGATAGTCCAGCGCCTTGGAAAGTCCTCCCGACGTGAAAGGCACTATACAAATGTAATTTTGTTGTTGTAAAATATGGGGGATTGTTGGCAAGATAGTGGGAAAAATTCCTTTCTCTTTCAAATTGTGTCCTGGGATCTTTAACATTCATCTGAACAAGCACACAGGGCCAATGTTGGACTTTGTTTTATCAGAAGAATGGGCAACGCACCACTCCTTCATCATCCCCCACTAAACCCAACGGAGAACTTAAAACCACTGGGGGGCTGGGGTGGAAAGCAGATACTAAGGGGGCAAAGCATAATACAACAAAAAGGTTTACACCTACCTCTCGATCTAGTCGAGATCTCCATCTCCTCTTCTTCCTGCTCCTCTTTAGGCAAATCCTCAGCCAAACTGTACAAAAGAAAAACTGTTTAAGACAAATGATCACAAGATGATTTTACATCAATATGTAAACTGACCATGTAAATGCAAATTGTTTTTTGCTCTTGTTGTGGACCCCATAGCAATGTACCAAGGCAACCAGGGACTTTTGGAAGGTCAACCAAGATGAGTCAGTGGCCTAAGGAGAAGTGAAGGAAAATTCTTGAATATTAGGAAATATAAATATTAGTTTAAAGATTGTTCAAATGACAGACAGAAGTCAGTATGTCGACAGCATCATTAATTCACCCCTGACCCAACTAAAACCATTAACGTTAGCCACCTCCAGATTTGACTGCTCCAATGCTCGCTCATCACCATTCTTCGCAGCTCAACGCTTACAAGCTGCAGATCATCCCAAACTCCACAGCTTGTATACTCAGCAAGCCCATTACTCCCCCTTACAAGGCTCCATTAATTCCCTATTCGCCCCCCTCCCCTCCCCCACCCCCCGTTGTATTTTAAGTTTGAAATGTCTCTACAACCTTGCCCCACCCTACTACTTTGAACTCTATTCTCCACTCACTTCTGCTTAGCCAGCTCTGGCCTGCTCCACATTCCCCACCTCACTATTAGTCTAACATATCTACAACTGCTGCTAATATGTTTTGCAATCGCACTCTCATCTGTAGATAGAGATATTTATTGTGCCCAGTTACCATCAACATGTCCTCTACATCTTCTATACAAAGAATCGGGGATCATATAATTCAGCAGCAGATGGAATGGAATACCTATTGAGTAAATTACGTAATACATTATAACTAAGAACCCAAGTTAAAATGACAAAGCAGTAATTGTACCAAACCTAATAAAACTAAAACAGCCAACCCTGGAAAATAAAGCTCAAGCAATTTCGCTCTCTCTCTCTCTCTAATAGGGCAGTTTTATTGCATGTTTTGCTTTGATTGTGGCTTGAAGTTACCATGTTATCAATCACCAGCTCTTTTCTAACATTAATAATTTCAGTGGCACTCTTGATTGCAATGAGCAGAACACTGCATTTGCATTTAAATAAACAGCCAAAGATATATTGTACAATGAATAAAAAGCAGCAATACACAGGGCAACACATTGTGATCTCCTAACACCACTCAGGCATTGGCACCATCAGATTTTAATTTGTGAATAAAGAGGAAGAGAAGAGGTAATTTGGAATATGTACCTCTCCACTTTTCCCCCAAATAATGCTTTATCAAACATTTACGGCTTGTGATTTGGAGGGTGCGATTCAGCACCTGGAGAGGGAGCTCATTTCATTACAGTCCATAGGTTGCAAACTACAGTCATTAAGGTTCAATAAAATAATTGCATAGGTGCTTATAATTAGAAACCGTGGTTGTTCATGTTGGGTTACCTGTGGTCAACTGTTCATTTGTGCATTCAGCACCTTAAAAAACAGCTAGGCCAGTTCAGGCAAGATTTATGCAAGTCAATTACGTGCCAAGTTGTTTACTGGTATGAACTCAATTCTGTTTTTTTTATATTAGCTTTTCATAACACTGTGCTCAAATTTGATTCTGAATAAGATTAAGTAAAATATCTCCAGTGACTCACCAGTCTCCAAAATTGTTCAGTTTCACAGCTCATAAACTGTTCTACCTCAATCTGTTCACATTTCAGGAGTTTGCGATGTAAACAAACACATGATAACCAGATCATCTGAATGGCATATGCGTATCTTACAAGGTTAGTTTGTGGTAGCCAGCTAGCTGGTTATTTACTCTCTCATGTTAATGGTATTATTCTTGGGTTCTCAAAGCTGGGAGGAAAAGTGCATTCAAACATCTTTTGTAATCATCTTTGACAAGAACAGCTCAGTACAGTTTAATTAATCCACACTGTCTTCTTTGTACAACTGCACCACAAAAGCTCCCCTTAATAAACAATTTGTGCGTAGACCTACTGAGTAATTAGAGTGTGGATTTTTACAGAATACATTTTACCCAGATTTGGGGTGATTTAGAGAAGTGCAGCATTTAATGCAGCAGCTTTGATGCTCTGCGTATTGCAGAACGTGCACAGACAGCCTTTACTTTGCTGTGCATATGTTGTTTACAATATGTGGCGTCTAAAAATGGAATTTGGCACCAGTAGCTCTGATCCTTTCCTCCACCTAAAATGGTGGTGCTTTCTATAATCACTGTGCCAATTGTCAAACCAGTAATCCGGTTCAACTGAACCATTTAAGATGCAATGAAATTCATTAATCAGAGAAGAATACCGGCATCAGCTATGATGATTGCGTATCAAGGGAATCACCGAGCTCAATGGGACCAACAGTTTGATTCGGGAGTCTGTCGTACATGCAAACAATGTCTTTTAATATTAAAAAAAGGTTGAATTGGTAATAAAAAAATGCCAGATGGAAATCCATTGACCTCTCACGGGAAAGACTTAATACATGTAAAAATGCACCCTTTATTCTCTACAGCTGAGCAAATAATCGATCTAAAATATTTAAAGAAATGACCAGCTCCCAACTAGTAGGCTGGAATATTTACAGAAAAGCAGCTCTACTGCAGATACAGCAATGGGAGGATCGCTTAGGCTGGTTTGAACCAGTTTGTTTTTACCTTGGGTTTGACATCTGCTTTTCTAGGCACTGAATCACGTCAGTATTTTAATCAGGAATCCCAAATAATCGTCCTTGTGTGCTTTTGTGGCTGAATTGTACCAGGAAAATAATATAGCATAGGTCGGTCTGTCTGCAAGTCACAAAGGAGTCCTGGGCACAAGACGTCAGTGCTCTGGGCTGGGCTGTCTGCTCTTGTCTCGCAGCCTGTACAGCATATCCCATCAGCACCAATAACACACTGCTAACAAAACTGCAAAAGAGACTCCCTTATAGCCGTGCAGTGTATTTTACATGAACGATATAGCGCATCAAACCTTCTTTTAACCATTAAAAATACATAAAGTCCTTCAGCTTGGCTGAATTTACCTTGTTTTGGTGGAACAAAGATGGAGGAAATTTCCAGAAGGCCTTTCTCAGTCCGGTTACTGCAATTGTCAATCTTTAACCTACTCTGTGCTGCAATTGGCCACACGCTACAGGGTAGGATATGATTGGGTTGCAGCTTAAAACAGCAGAGCTGCCACTACCTTGTCTCAGACAGCATCTTTCTGCATTGCAGCCTGGAGTGTAAAAGAGCCAAGAAAATGTGTGTCTATTTGTTAGGGAGCCACTAACATGGAAACCGGAATGCTTTAACAATTTGTGTACAGTTGCAAACCCTTCACAAGAATCGCATTCGTACGGCTTCTAAGACACGATTTTCACTTTGGCTTTGCCCTTCCATGGCCGGCCATTCAGAGCAGCCATTTTTACATTTTGTTACAAGATCATGTTCCAACAAAAGCTAAGTAAGATCCTAACAGGCCTCGTCTTTGAATGCTGTCGGGTCAAATTGGGTAGAAGCACTGGAGATGAAAATAAATAAATAATTTTAATGAAAAAAATAGTCCCAGTGAAAATATTCCCATTTGCTACAAGTTAACCTTTGTGGACAAATTGTGAGTGGGGGGGGGGAGAGCATACATGACATTGGCAGTTTTATCCTCCATTCCACAATATTAGTTACTCAGAGTCTATTTGTTAAATATTTCTCGTTTCACTCCAGCTCCACAGTCTCAACAACAACAAAGTCCGGATACATTCTCTCGATAGCCTGTCGGTCTGCTACAAGACACACCACTTCTCATCACTCCTGATCAGAATTACAAACCGAGTTTCAATGTAGCAGCCTTGTAATGTCCTCAGAAACTATAGGTAATACTTACCAACAGTCCCGAGCAATGCAATTTTATGTAGAAAACTAGATATTTGAATATATAGCCATGGAGTGGGGAAGGGACTAACAGTCTGATCCGATCCTCACCCAGGATCCACAAATAGGTGCTTGTAAAACATGGGTCAGTGGATAGTGATCAGATAGTCAGAAATGGAAACCAAGGCTTAACATTCTTTCTCTCTGCCTTCCCCAACCTGCACGCCTTGGGGAATTGCAGCACCCCCACTGCTATTCAAGTTGAGATGCATTAATCCAGAGCCCAAACAAAGGGTCAAACCTGAAACCCTTACAGGTCTGTTTGACTCCGTATGTTTACCTACTCTATCATCACCTTGAAGCAATTGCACAAGGAAATCGAGAAAACCCCCATAGATTAAAATTAAGGGCAAATTACAAGAAAAAACAAATTGCAAATTGCATTTAGATATTGCATTTCACATCAGGAGGTCCTATGGGGCTGGACAGTCAAGGCTTTGCACCCAAGCAGAGGGTTGGAATCAGGAAGGGTGGAGGGCAAGAGGGGTGGGGCTGGCAGGATGACTGAAAACATGGTCAACGAGGAAGGACATGAGATGGACCTTGAAAGAGACAAGGGATTCTGGGATGGAGTTTCTGGGATGAAGTTCCAGAGGGTGGAGGCAGAAAGGCTGAAGACTGGAGAGCTGATGATGGGGCCGGCAGGGCAGGGTACACAGGCTATGCCCGCTGAGCAGAGGGAGTGGGCCGGTTTGTAAGGTTTAATTTAGGAAGTTGCAGAGGTAGGGAGGAGCAACAACAACAAGATTACATTTGTATAGTGCCTTTCACGGGAGGACGTCCCAAGGCGCTGGAGGATATTAAAAAGTGAGGCGGAGGATCTTAAACTCAATCTTCTGGGGGATGGGGAGACAGTGAAGCCAGGTGAGGTTGGGGGTGATTGGCTCATAAGAGTTTGGTGCAAGAGATGACACAAGCTGCAAACATCTGAATAACCTGCAGGTTTTGAAGGGAAGAGTTGGGAAGTCTGGAGGGCAGGGAGTTAGCAGAGTCAATCCTAGACTTGATGAGAGCATGAATGAGGGACTCTGCGGCCTGAGGGGAGCAGTAGTGGCGGAGGTGGGCAACGTTGCAGACGCAGGGGGAGAATGGGAAGAATGGGCCATGGCACGGATGTGGGGTTTAAAGGACAGTTGAGGG